GCAGCTCCTTATCGTGCTTAGAAAACAACCTAGGAACTCCTAAGACGTACTGCTTGCGCGGCTTATTCTGGCTTAGCCACTAACTGCGTGGCTGAGGGCCCATGCCACCAAAGAGGGTGGTCGACCAATTCCTGAACGGAGGGGCCTCTACTGCCCATGTCCGCTGAATAACATTAGGATTGAACAAGCGACCACTTTTTAGACTATGTACTCTTTGTTACCCTATTAACGACAAAAGTTGTCCAACGGCATGCTGGCTTGTTTAACCACGGCCACAACATGATGGAGTCTGTCCAGCAGTAGAGTTCAGAGGTGAGCATTGGTGTAATTGAAAGAACCCAACGCGGACTAGCTCTGTATAAAACTCTGCCATCTCAAACACAGTTCACTTAGCAGATCTTCGTCCCACCCTAGGTTCTGAAGACAAATCTCTAGTATGAAGATCTTGGCGCGCACTTCAAAAGGCACGAGCCATTCTGCAGTATCGAACAATTTGGCAATTTGGGAAACAAGCTGGCGCTTTGTAAGGGATTCCTCCGCTAACTCTGGTGGAACAAAGTCTTCGCAGTGCTCTCTGCGTCGATCTCTAGAAAATCGGTACGCAAATGATGGTCATTCGGAATATGACCCATAATATCCTTGTGGTTCGCTAACACGGAGGAGTTTAGGGCACTTTTTAACTCTTGGACCGAGAGCTGGGCGTCTTTTCTGGAATGAGCCCCAGCTAATAGTACATCATCCGCATAAATAAATTGACAAATCACATTAATCGCTTTTGAATGGCTGGGTTGTATGTCTCACACCAAAAAATTTCGCCCTCGCGATTACGGAATAATATCCGCTGAAATTTTAAGGACTGTACGATTGGGCCAGCATGAAGGAAATCATTTAAAATCGTAAAACTACGCGAAGCTTTGTCGTAGTGCTCTCAGGTCTGAGCACTGCATAATTGCTCGTGGAATCGTAGGGAAGACTTCTCTCATGTGGTTTAAATCAAGATATGCTTAAACCACTGAGTTGTATCTTAATTTTAATGACATATCTCCTTTTAAATTACTAAAAATTAAGGCAACATACAGGACATGGGTGTCCTAATTCGCAGAAAGGCTGGGTTAACGTATTTACCAATTTCATTTTTGGTGGTTGGTTCTTCTCGCAGACGGAATCGGCTTGGTTTGCAACTTCGACGATTGATTCTCCACCTCCAAGAATTTGGTGAGGAGTTCATCTAACGCATGGTCGCATCAGCTTGACACATAGGAATGGCAACTTAACGAGGTAATACCGGTATGACATTATATTGCCGAATTCATTGAAGCTCAGAGACAGAGAGAAATATATGGATACTGCGTGAGATTTTTTGGTTATAAAATTACGGTCAAATTGCCACCATCGTGTTTCACTTCCGGATCCCTGCGCAGGGAGCCAACGTGTTGCACCAATATCAGCAGCCACAAATCCATGTGCGGATCCCTGCACGTCGAAATTTTGTGAGGAAACCAACGATACCTTGCCGAGCTTGTTTTACTACAGCCGAGGATTTGTCCACTGCCGCCGCCATTTACTAGCTGATCAACCACTTCACCGCAGCCAAGTTCTATGGGAAACCTGCAACCCGGTGCGCGTCGATGGACTCGCACGCCACGACCGTAGCCCGTGCGGCTAGAAAAGCATGGTTACATACTGAAAGGAAGCACCACTGGAATTACAGATAATCCAGGTTACTCTTGCCACCAGCGACGACGAGTGGATGTGTCTGGCACTATATTAGTGTGTTGTTGTGTGTGCTGCAATTTTCCCCGATTGATTGATTTTATTGATTTAATGGGGTGCGGGAATTGATTCCAGAGACGAGCCGAATTTACAAAATGATTTGCTGAACTGGACAACATGGTCCGGTTTACAGTTAGATTATTTGTTCTTTAGGTGCACAAAAGCTTAACTCAGAAAACAGGTACAACGGTTCCCTAGTGTGGATAATTTTGTGGAGCATTGTCAGAGTTCAGCGCTTTATTATTTTGGGGTTTAATGCTAGACCATTAGCTCTTGCCCACTGACTAATGATTTGAAGGTCAGAGTTTCAAGCAACAACACAGTCATTAGTACGACAAACGGAACCACTAACGTATAATTGCACATCGTCATCATACATGTTTAGAATGGGACACTACAGTCGGAAGATCATTTTTATACATTGAAAACAACATTGGCCCCAGAACAGATCCCTGCGGTAGTCGGAAGTAGTCGAAGGCGGTACAAAAGGAAGACGAAATAGACGCTGACACTACACATTGATGACTATTACTTAGGTAGGACGATATAAGTTTAGGGAAGGTTGAAAATGTTGTTGCAGAGTTAAATATATGTGTTATTAGTTGTAATATCTGAGGTAATAGAATTTTTACAAATTTAAGATTGATATCTTCCAAGTAGCGTTAGATTTCACTTTTAATATTGCGTCAAGGACATAACATTGAGTAACACACATAAAGCTAAGTAAATCACAGTTGGCCATAGTAGTCATGTTCAGGTACTAGTTAGAGACTGATTCAGGTACTGGGGCTTTAACGAAGATATTATTGAGGCTGTTAACATCAATGTGTGGTTGATGGGTACTGGGTTTCCTCCCTATTCCTAGGGTTTTCAAGACTGACCAAGTTTGCTTGGTATTAACAGCTTCATCGAATTTTGACCTGAACTATATTTTTTTAGCGTGAGTTATTGAAGTATGAACTTTCGTACGTAACTTCCTGAATTTTTCATACAAAGCATTTGTCTTATATCGCATCCACGTCTTGTATGCCACATTTCTCATCTTTTTAATATTATTAATTCTATCGTCAAACAAGGATTGCTGGTTTGATAGGAAGGACTTTTAATATACGGGAACTAAACTATTAAAAATATGAACTAATTTTGATTAGAATTAGTAAAGCTGGACAATCATACGAATAAAACTCAGTTGACAAATTAGTCATATCTATGTTTTTAAAGTCCCTATAAACAATGGAAAGGTCATTATACTGAACGTCAATATTGTAGGTTAGAAATATGAGATAATGTTTTGAGAATATGTATATATTGTCATCTAAAAGGATCTTGAAGTTGTCATTAACAAACAAGAAAAGAAGCAAACTTCGGCAAGCCGAAGTTCATATACCCTTGCAGCTATTGCAAAAATTTAATATTCTTGAAAAATTCTAAAATTACCATTTCCTTGCGTACATGTTTAAAAACTTTGAAGCTATGATGATTTGCAGCTCAATTATTCGATAGTTCCTATGGCAGCTATATGATATCGTTTTCCGATTTTAATAAAATTAAAAGAGTAATTCTGAACTGACAAATTATTAACAAGTCAAAAAAAATTTACAAAATAGAAAATTAAAATTTTTTTAAAATTTTTTTTCTTGTTCCCATGGGAGCTTTATGTTAAAGTCGTCCGGTTTTAATGAAATTTAAACCGAAATTCTAAAATATTTAACCATTACTATATGAATACCCTGTAAGACAGTCATGCCCAGCTGGGCCCAGCTTAACTCCCGCAGACAAATTTCTTGCATCAAAATTTTTGCCTGAACGACGAAAGTTAATAGCCATCCTGCCATATGAACCAGTTTGGCTATCTGGGATAAAACCTCTCGTTTGGTGTAATCTGTTTGGAGAGAGATGTCCACCGGCAGAAACAGGAAACTATCAGCTGGCAAGCGACCAGCGGATTCCTAGAGCATTTGTCATGCTTGCGTCCTCCAACTCAAGGAAGTCAGTTTCTTCACGTTTGAGGTCCATAGGCGCAGTGCAAAGTCTGCACTCTCGAGGGCCAGACGGAGCTCTTTGATGGCTAGAACAGCGGACTGCTGCGTTTGGTTGCCAGCCACAACATCGTCGACATACATGGAAATTATGTCACTTGTGGCATAAGGGGAGATGTAGACTGTGAACTGTCGAACGCCGACGTTCTCTTAAGCTTAAACGGAATTAAGGACTTTTTACACCAAATGGTGAACAAGTATATTTTTACACCAAATGGTGGCCAATTCGGCGAAAGTGGGCAAACGTTTATTGTTAAAAAACCATATTTTTAAGAGGTAGGCAAACGTTTTTTTTTAGTTCTTAAATTTTAAGAGGCGGGCAAACATGGGCATTCTTTATTTTTTCGAAAAAAACTATTTTTAATGGGTGGAAATTTTTTTGAAAATACTATTTTTAATTGGTGGGCAAACAACTTTTGTCGGAAAAAGTTATAGTAAAGCCGTCGGCAAAATTTTTTTTTTTTAAGTCATATTTTTAAGAAGTGTTCAATCGAATTTGTTTAAATTCTTACATATTCTATGGGCATTTATTGTTTTTTGGAAAACAACTTTTTTTAATGTGTAAGCAAACGACTTTTGTAAGAAAAATCTATATTTATGCTGTCGGCAAACGTTTTTTGTTAAAAAATGGCGAACGAACAGCAGTGTAATGCCCTCAATAAAGTTAACAAAAACTAAACCGGCCAATTATAATTAAGTTAAGCATCCAATGATAACGAAGAAAGTCAGCAGAAACGACAACAGCGGCAGAAACGGTGGCAGTAATTGGTTAACATATTGTACATAACATAACATAAGTTAAAACAGTTCTTAATACATCTCAATAAAGTAACGTTAAATTTTTTTTTTTTTTTAATTATTATCATTGTTTTAACGTATATATCAGAATGAGCCAGATCGGACGACTGTAGAAAAATTACGCCTTTGCTGTTTTTTATTTTTAGAACAATCGGAATATTACAAAAATAAATTTAAAACAAACTTTAACTGGTAGCATATACATACAAAAAAATCATATGAAAAATATATGAGAAATATTATAACTTCGCTGTTTTTCCATCGATTTATATATATGCTTCGATACATAGTGTGTCATGTAGACCATGAAAACTTCGGGTGACCGAAGCTAGCTTACTTTTTAAATGTAGTATGTTACTTACACAAATTTATAACTTTTTTATTTATCAGTTTGAATACGATTTTTTGTTGAAAGTAATGGCTATCGAAGGATTTGGAAAGATTATTGGGTCATTGGATAATACAATCGTTTACGCTGAGCTAGCTGTAAATATTGTCAACTTCAAGCTCAACCTTCACGATTTTCGTATAATGCGATTCAGGTAAGTTAAGTTGCTCGGAAATTATTTGGAAACGTTTGTTGTTAACCGCGAAAACAGCACTAGTATTTTTAAAAATATACTAGTTACTCGTAACTCGAGTGAAAGGGTATATTTTATTTGTTGAAAAGAACGCAATAGGTAGAAGGAAGCGTATCAGATCCTATAAAGTATATATATTCTTGATCAAGACCAGTAGCCGTTTTGTGACAGATCCGAACGCTGTCGTCAAAGATGTGGAGAAGCTTGCTCAGGGGTTTTTCACACACGTAATTAATAACACCGATTATTAACTTAATGTCACCAGACCTGTTCTTTACAAAAGCCAAAGGAGGCGCGTAAGGTGAGACACTAGAACGAATAACATTCTTTTAAGTAACACCTGAGTGGTTTCTGCAACTTTCACTCTCTCAAACTCAGACAAACGCCTTGGAGAACAGTAAAATTGGTTAATCAGATGGACGTATAAGTATAGTAATATAATCAAATTGGTTACTAAAATAATACGATTGAATAACCTTTTGAGACCGCTCTGCTATTTCAAGCCCAAACACAGTTCCTATCTCAAATGAAACCTCTCTAAATGGTTCTATACAAAGAAAAATCTTTGCGCATCATCGTCAACCACTAAAAATTCTCAAAAATTCACATGGTGTAAGCGTATGTTGATATTGTTAGACATATTAGTAGATATATCCTTTACTCGTAGAGTAGAAGCGTATACACTCATAGAAAAAAATTCCCAAAATTTAGAAATCTCGCCTTTAAATCGGCTAGTCTTTGAATCAATGACAAAAATTTCTTGATTCAAGAAAAAATTGTAAATAAAAATGAAAATCCTTTCTGATTGTAAGCTTTTAAGAAAAAAACGTTCTTAAAAATAGAAAAAAGACTTAATATTGATTTTTTTTCGGACGACAACAGCAACAAAAATTGTTTAGTTTTTAAAGGTGAATTTGCCTTTGAATTCCATAGAACAATATCCCTCAAAAATAGAAAACCAGCCTTTGACTTACAAAAGCAATTCGAAAGAAAAAGAACGGTAAAATACGAAGTCAACGATGTCAGTCGGATGACTTTGCCGAACTTTACATTATCCCTTTAATAGCTCAGAAATTCATAAATTCATTATCCCTTTAATAACCCAGAGGAAGATCCATTCCCATTATCTTTTCAGGAAAGACAGCAACTTGAGGCTGTTAAGGAATTTTGAAAACCAAGGTTTAGGTCGTACGGTATTAATTAAGCATTGTATTGACATTGGTGATAGTAAGCAGCTGAAGAAAAGCTAATGTACTCGGAAGTTGACCGAATGCTTAGGCTAGGACTGATCGTCGCAAAATGCTTGGAGTTCTCCCACGCGCTTAGTAGTTGAGCCAAAAATAGTTACAATTTCAGAATTTTAAGGTTTAAATTTCATCAAAATCGGACGACTATAGCATATAGCTCACATAGAAACAATCGGAAAAAAAAAAAAATTTTAACTTTGCTGCTTTTTAATTTTTTTTTAGTTCTTCGACATATAGTAATGGTTAAATATTTTAGAATTACGGTTTAAATTTCATCAAAATCGGACGACTATATAATATAGTTCCCATAGAAATAATAAAAATATATAAAATAACTATTTAATAATTAAGCTGCAAATCATCAAAGCTTCAATGTTTTTCAACATATACGCAATTAAATCATAATTTTCATGTTTTCAAAAGTATTGCAATAGCTGCAAGGGTATATGAACTTCGGCTTGCCGATGTTTGCTTTCTTTCTTGTTTTACTTTTTCTAGCTTTTTTCAATGGCTAGATTAGCTTTTTTTGACCCAAAGGGTTGGCAACATTGTGTGGGTGTTGCAGAGTGCTAAGCATCAAGCCAAATGCATCCGGATCCTGTCACCACACTAGGGTGGGCAAGTTGAAATCTCCGAAAGCACAGAAATGCTCATGTTGTAGTCGGTTGTTGTTAAAATTTGGTATATTCTGCATATGGTCCTTGTAGATCAAATATCTACTATTCGGGGGTATATACGATGCCACAGTTAGAACAGCATCCGATAATCTGCTTATATAAAGTGCAACTTGGTCCAGAAGAGTATTTTGAATCAAGAGGTCAATTGATAAGCAGCGCAAGCTACGAAGCACAGCAACAATTACGCCGTCTCCTCTAGTGCAGTGTGTTTTTGTGCAATCCCTGTCCTTCCGGAACACTTGATATAAGTTGAAGTTGAAAAACTCATTCCAGTAAAAGCTCAACTGAAGTAGTTCAACTAGAACTAGGACATCAAACTCACATTGAGATGTGGCCAAATAAACTTGTTCTGCTTTGTTTGCATGCACGATATGTTTTGAACCCAATTATCGAGCGAAGATATACTCACAATAGCAGGAGCAACTCTAACGAGTCTGTCACCAACTGAATCGGGCGCAGACTTCCATAATCCACGCAGATGAATGCATTGTAGGCAACGATCTTAAAACACGGATCCCAGAAATCGCCTTCAGCAGCGTCGTATTTTTAATGATCCATACAATAAACCAGAAACAAGAACGATGTAACTGGAGCATAAGTGGGCGCCACCATCGCCAGGCAGCAGAGACAAGCGTTAGAAAGAGATAGCAATCGTTTTACTTTCGCACGTTTAACAAACGACTGGAAAAAAGTCCTCAAAATAAAATAAAATAAAGCAGCTCGTGCGGTCAGACCACCTTGTATAGTTGCACCATGCGCTGCTGGCAAAGTAGACTGTGCTGTAATTTGAAGATGAGCCGTTCGCAAGTGCTAGGACTCAAGGCTTAAAGAGTGATGATGATGGAGAGGAGTTGTTTGGAAGATTGGTTGGACTTCAAGTGAGTGAAGGCCCAGCTAGATCCGCCAGAATTAGACCTGCATTGGCCTTTTCTCTATGCACAAAACTTTTTACCTTCACTGAAAGCGTTCAAATATAATTTTTGAACACACTTTTAACTGCTCAGGAACCCTAAGTTTGAAGTTCACGAACTTTAAGGATTCAACATTAACATCCTTATTTACAAGCTTAAAGCAAGTAAAATTTTCAGAGTCTGCATTTAGCTTAGCAACTACACATTTTCAATTAGCATTTGGGTCCGGAATTGCTGAGAATTTTCCTGTAGAAGACCCAGCTACAACAACTTGTCTTTTGTTTTTGTTATTGTGCCTCTTCTTATTTTTACGAGTTTGAAGTAACATAGAAGGTTAAGGCTGCTAAAACGGCAGTCCTTGGATGGCGAAGTTTAGAGTTAATATTTGGATTCGGCTGAGCAACCAACATCCCTTTGTTGGGGGAATGCCTACAGAAATTTTGGCACCCAGTTCGTAAATTTTGGAATGCGAATCATTCGCTAATATACAACTGTCGCATTGACAGCAAATAAACGGCGAGTTCGCTAGAAGTTTAACCGCCTCTGCCTGTAGGGTAACACAAGCGATATAATAGCGCGATGGAAAAACAAGGAACAGCGGTCAAAGCAAAGTTGGGCAGCTGTAACTTCTGTTTTGCACTCAGCACAGTAGGGAAGCGACATTGCGATAATAAAAATAAAATCAAAGAATCATACTTTGTAGAATTGGTAAGTCGCTTTACTTTAAATGTGGCTCTTAGACCAATCCCGAATTTCCTTTCCCTAGACTTGCGAAGTTGTACATGAAATTTTAGCCTATTTGAACCCTTTCTTGTTTATTTGTAAACATTATAATAATCTATAAATCAATTTTGTACCTTAAAATATATACGTGTTCTAATTAATAAAATTTTGACGTATTTATACTATGTAAAGTTCAGCAATATGTATTCGTATACGTTATATATGGAAGGCTCAAATTTAAGACTCCTTAAAGGTTGATGGGGAGGTTCTATTATTTTATTTAGAGCTTTCGGGGTATAGTACATACATTTTTACAAGAGTAATTTTGATGAAAGAAAAGTAAATACGATATTCTATTATGTAATGAAAAGGAAGAGAAAAACAAAGTTACTTTTTTTCGGTCTAAGAACAAACCTTGATTCAAGCCGAGGACCTTTGGATAGACGCAATAGCTGGTTGCGTCACGCATTTGACAATGTACTAAGGCTGTATAAGATTTCAAAGGGAAGGACTTTTATTTAGCTAATCATCAGTTAGAAAAATTACCGGGACCTAAATAATTACGAAATGTTTGATGTTTCAAGACATTTACCTTTACATTAAAGGCTAAATTTTTCAAAATTACGTTTTAAATTTTATTAAAAACAAAGAAACAAAAAAATATTAAAAACAAATTTTTCTTAAAATGTAACTTTTCTAATTTGTTTATTTTTAAAATTTTTTTTTTTGACTTATTGATAATTTGAAATTTTAGAATTGCGCTATTATTTCTATTGAAAATCGGAAAACGATATCGTATAGCTGTCATAGGAACTATCGAAGCATACACGCAAGTAAATCATAATTTTAATATTTTCAAGAATATTTCATTTTTGATATAGCTGCAAGGGTATATGAGCTTCGGCTTGCCGAAGTTTACGTTCTTTCTTCTTTTAATATCTTGTTTATTAATTTTAATATATTTAACTCAACAAAAAAAGATTTCTCTGTTATATCATTGACCTTTGTTTACATAAAATGCTTCTGATTTAAAGTGATTTTTTCCATAATTTAAAGGCACCTGTAAACATAAAATAAACAAGAAAGAAAGCAAACTTCGGCAAGCCGAAGTTCATATACCCTTGCAGCTATTGCATGAATTAAATACTTTTGAAAACATTTAAATTATGATTTACTTGAGTATATACTGAAAAACAGTGAAGCTATGATGATTTGCAGCTCAATTATTAGATAGTTATTTTATATATTTTTATTAGTTCTATGGGAGCTATATGATATAGACGTCCGATTTTGATAAAATTTAAACCATAATTCTGAAATAATTAAACATTGCCATATGTCGAAGAACTAAACAAAAAATTAAAAAACAGAAAAGTTATAATTTTTTTCATTTATTTCTCCGATTGTTCCTATGGGACCTATATGATATAGTCGCCCGACTTTGATGAAATTTAAACCGTAAATCGAAAATATTTAACCATTACTAAATGTCGAAGAACTAAACAAAAAATTAAAAAACAGAAAAGTAATAATTTTTTTTCATTTATTTTTCCGATTGTTCCTATGGGAGCTATATGCTATAGTCGTCCGATTTTGATGAAATTTAAACCGTAAATCGGAAATATTTAACCATTACTAAATGTCGAAGAACTAAACGAAAAATTAAAAAACAGCAAAGTTATAATTTTTTTTCATTTATTTTTCCGATTGTTCCTATGGGAGCTATATGCTATAGTCGTCCGATTTTGATGAAATTTAAACCGTAAATCGGAAATATTTAACCATTACTAAATGTCGAAGAACTAAACAAAAAATTAAAAAACAGCAAAGTTATAATTTTTTTTCATTTATTTTTCCGATTGTTCCTATGGGAGCTATATGCTATAGTCGTCCGATCCGGCTCGTTCCGACTTATATACTAACTGCAATAGAAAGACAGCTTTTGGGAAAGTTTCATGCAGATAGCTTTAAAACTGAGAGACTAGTTTGCATATAAACGGACGGACAGACGGACAGACGGACAGACGGACGGACAGACGGACATGGCTAGATCGACTCGCCTAGTGATGCTGATCAAGAATATATATACTTTATAGGGTCGGAGATGTCTCCTTCACTGCGTTGCAAACTTCTGACTGAAATTATAATACCCTCTGCAAGGGTATAATAAGAATAGAACAGGTAAAAAAAACATTATGTTATTTATGAAAAACAAATATAATTTTTCTAAGAATACTTGTATAAAATTCAGAAAATATATAATATATTTTATAAATTTTTCTTAAATTTAAGAAAAAAAAGTTTTCTATATTTAAGAAAATCAGTTTTTTGTGTTTGAAATGCTTGTGTCTAATAATATTAAGTCATCAATTTATTGTCGTAGATGCAGTGTATTTCGTTCAGAAAATAGGGGACCTGCTGAGAAGGTTGCACAATACGTCAAAGAAGGGCTTTTAGTCGAATTTAACTAAAAACAACAGAGCAACAAAACCTCGTCAAAAAATTTAATCGGATTAAAGTATCGCTTTAAGCTATATACTGAATGGAGTATTGACAGTGTTTTTATCAGCTACACTCTTAGAAAAAATCAAGAATTTCGATGTCAAATCAAGAACGAACGATGTCAAAAGTAGGGTAAATTCGAAAGAACGAAAGACTATATTCAAGTACGAATTATTCAATCCCGAAGTTCTACATTTAAGAACGAACGTCATCAGTCCAAGTACTCAAAAGTGCTTGAAGAAAGTGGGAAAGATATTGGTTTGAGTACGAAAAATTCTTTATTCAAGTATTAAAGTGTCTTAGTTTAAATTTTGCAAGTGAACAAATTAAGTATAAAAAACGTTCGTTTAAGCATGAACAGTTCTTAATTTAAGTACGAAAAGTTTTAATTTAAGTCAGAAAAATTCGTAGTTAATGAATGAACACTCTTATTTTCAAGAACGAATTATTTTTCATGTAAGAAACAAATATTCTTATTTGGAGAGTAAACCATTCTTTTTTTAAGAACCAAACCCTCTTTAATTAAGAATGAATATTTTTAATTTAAGAACAAATCATGTTTTATTCAAGAAATCAATATTTATTTGAAGAATAAACAATTCTTTTCTTAAGTACAAAACGTTTTTAACTTAAGAATATAAATTCATAATGAATGGTATTTCAGTATTGTATCTGATTCACTTCTTAATATTTAAAAGTACAACTTTTATATTGTATATTGTGACATACATAAACACAATTTGTCTTAAGAAACTTATACATATTTAATATATACATATTTAATATTTTTCATTATTTACAGGATATAAATGCAAAGGAGCAGTGTCGAATTCACTTAACTTTCTAATACAATATTCTTTAGCAGAGCCAATTACGTATGCGCGAAAATGTTTATCAAAGTTTGTAATTTCAATTTGTTGGCAAACACCGTAAGCTTAGTTGTTGTAGACAGTAAAGAATTTAATTTTAAATAACTTAAAGTCACTGAATATTACACCTAAGTAGTAATTCCTTTAAAAATTAAGATATCATATAAATGGAATTTGTTGCAGTCCGAAAACTTTTCCTTTAACAAATTATTAAAATTATTAAATTATTCTTGATGGCTTCCTCAACTATTGCGTTGATCAGCCAGATTCTATCCACCTCAACAAGATTCCCTTTATTAATTAACGTTTTTCCATGCTCCTTCGCCTCTATAATCGAACGAATGCTCTGCAACAAAAATAAATTGTTCATTTTATATTCATATACAAAATTAAAAAAAGAAATTATAATTTATAAAAAATAATTACCTTGTGGAGCACAAAATTGGTCTCGTTTTCGTTTTGGCGTGCGCTGACCTTGGTAATTTTCTAAATAAAATATTGTGTTAAAAACTACTCTAAAAACTTACATTTTTTCTCTCCAAATTGTAAGCTTCCGATTGAACAGCATACGCAGTCCCAATTGGGGAACTGCTTCCTTTAGCTCCTCCTCTGTCACACTTTCTAATAGTGACAAAGTCACTCCAGCTTCTGTATGCAATTAATATAAAAACAATAAATATGATTTTTCTAAGAAGCAAATACCAATACACGAACTAAAAAAACAGTAACAAACAGCAAAAGTATGCATGTACATGTGTGCACGTGAATTTACAGTTCTTTTTGACTCCTTCTTTTTTTACTAAGAAAAAAAAGCACCTGTACCGCACTGAGTTCCGAAGAAGAGGAATAGAAAACAAAAGGGAACGGTAAAGCGCTCGTTCACATATATACATATGTATGTATGTATGTATGTGCCCTTGTAAAATTTCCGTCAGCCTATTTATTTATAAACTCTGATTAAACACCAATTCTAATTTTTACTAGTTTTTATTGGAACAAGACGCGATAACTTGCACAAGAATGTTTTGCATTGTTATGTGTGCGTGCGAACGTTTTACCGTTGCTTTTTTCTTTCCATTTTACTTTGTCTTTTTCGGAATCCATTTTATTGTAAATTATAGTATTTGTTTGTTTTTACTTTAATTCGTAAGTTAACTTAATTCAAGCGAATTTTAATTTTATTGACGACATCGCTTCTCTTTTATGTTACCACATTTGCTAATAGTTTATTGTTTCACATTAATGCACAATTACTTACCCTGCAGGTACGGCAGCACACCCTGCATTCCCATTTCTTCCAATGCGTCCTCCAGCTTTTTGGGCGATTCTCTTTCCATTGTTTTTACGGTGCGACGCGGATCTCTTACTTGCACTTCACGTTTTTAAAGTAAGGCAGCTTTGCGATCGATTAGCCGAAAGAAGATATCGACCGATAACACTGATGTGTATATGTATATACACAAATGTGTTCGATTTTACAAAATTATCGTATAATCGTACGACTGCTAGTGAAACAATGCTTAATTTATAGATTTAAATGTTTTTTTTTTTATAATTCTGTTATTAATTATAGACATTATAATCAGAATTAAGGCTATAAAATATATTTTCTCTGTGTATTAAAAAAAAAAATGTTAAAATATTATTATCAAGTATGACCCGTACTTATTCTGTACTCGTTCGTCCTAAAAATTTTAAGAATTATTCGGCCGATTTTCAAAAACGTCCGTGCTAAAATTATTCGTTCTACTTTTTTCTGGGTGTATGTTTTTAGGAAAAGAATTTGAATGCACTTGGTCAAGTCTCTGCCAACACCACGAAACCAACTCATCTCACAAAAACCTGCAAAAATCTGCTAAGCCGGTTCTTCGAAAACAATTCTAAAAAAATATTTTTTTGATTATTAAAACATTGAATTTAATCCGCTACATGACTGAGCTGGAGTAATTTTGTTTTCGTACTTGACTTATATGACCAATTTCTCACCCATTGTAACACACTAAACTAGAGAGACCACATTACACGAAACAGTTATACCAAAAAATCTTAAAATGCTCGCAGTACCTCGCAGTTGGTTTTGACCGAAACACGCACACAGAGTTCAATAGCTAATTTCTAACATGTGGTGGAGTGACGTGACAGACTTTCGCGATTAGTGGGCACAAGAGTGAGCGTGGCTCCGTTTTGAATTAAACTTCCGGTTAAAATCTTCCTTTTTAAATCACAAATCTTTAGCTTTTATGGCTTCCGAGATCTCTACGTTCATACGGACGGGCAGACTGACAGACAGACGGACATGACTTGATCGAGTCGGCTATTGTACCTGATCATAAATACATACAGTTTATAGGCTTTATTTTAAAGTGTTACTTACTCTACGAGTAACGGGTATAAAAATAAATGAAAAGCCAATGTCCGAATCTCCAGCTCTTTTCTATGAACGTTTTTCTCTATGACCGTTAATTTTGCCTGACCAAAACAAACTTTCCTTCTAGTGGTTTCATGCGTATAACAAACAAATTTTTGTTTTTTTTTAAATAATTATTAATTTTAAATTATATATATTTTTTGACAGTGACATTCAAGTTCAACTGGACCAAGCTCGACTAATTAAACAGCTGACTGGCTTTATTTTAAGCCCAATCACAAGTCTGTTTAAAGACCGCATAACAACATCCATAGCCGATGGTCTAAAGGAACAAATGCAATCTGTGATGGATGATTTCAATAATGAGGACCCCTTACAATTGCGCGAATTCACAAATAAGTTAGTATCTGGAATGACATAATTTATAACTATATATAGCCATAAACTTAAATAATAATTAAACTATTTTAACGATTTGGGTTTTTGTAATAATAAATTAATTTTTAATAAATCTTCGAAGTGTTACAGTGAAAATTAAAAAATAAAGCTACTTAAAAACTTAACACAAGATAGCACTACACACCATACTAAGAATGAAAATTTGAATATAATTCTTATTAAATGTATTCATAACTATATTCTTTTTTTTTTGATTAATTTTAAAAGTCAATATATCATTCCATTTTAAGCTCACGATGAGCACGATAACGGGTCTTTTTAGCAATTTTGGTCGAGACGATTATGTAGTTTTTGAAGGAAAACAAATTTTGCATTTTAGCTTGAGCCAATTAAAACAAACAATATAACGAAGCCTACGAAGTTTAAGTTTATGAAGACTGTTGCATTTGTCCCAGTGTGACAGCAAGAATGCTGACTTAACAATTGTACGGACAACAGGTGGTCAGACCAGACCCTCTTATTTTACAATTTTTCAAAAATGTCAATGCCCGAATTTCACAACTTCTAGAACTTGGAGTTACCCATCCAAGATCGCTGATAACGCAGAATTCGGAAATCGGGAAATGATAAGATCAAATTTGGGGCATAAGGGTCATTTCATAGGAAAAAACAATTCACCTCTTACCATTCTTGGCACTCAGAACCCTATATATGGGAACTGGAGGTCAAAAAATAGGAAGTAGAAAAAGTGTAAGCCGTAGTAGTACCGGAGTGACAACGCGTCGTGAAAAGTGTAGTGATTTATTTAATAAGGACCTCAAAGGTCCTTTCTTAAACAAGTAGAAAACAAATATAAGGACCAAAGGACCTTCCTTATATACCCTAGCACCCTGTATAAGATTCCGAGAATTTCTTTGTACCCTGTTGGTGCGCTATTTGCGACATGTCGGCATGTTTTAATCCCACATCATCGGTCAATGAATTTAAATTTCTAAGCAACTCATAGTCCCGTCCGTTGACTATCTTATTCTGTCCAAAACAAAGAAAACACGGGGAAAATCCTGTACTCCTGTGAACGCTCATTCACAAAGATGCGCTTATCGCGTCGATGTATGTATCCCAACTCGTATGGGCGCATATATAGGCTCTGATTGCTGCTAAAATGGACCTATTTACTGGCGTTAGCCTGTGGCGAATATTCTGATTAAAACTGTCAGCCAGTATGTATTCTTGTGCCCCGAAAGTATAAAATATATGCCTTTCCAGATATCCCCAAATCCTCTCGAAAGTACATTTCAAGAAACTTTGTATTGTGGTCAAGGACTATTAGTAGACCAATGTTTTCTTTCTTGGACCTCGGATATGGGTTAAGAAGATGCATATAGAGCTTTCTCGCTCGTAGCAGAAATAACTGCATCGCGCAAGTTAGCACAGTGATTGCTGAAAGGCATGAAAGAAGGTATAATTGCAAAAAAAAACCGGAAAAAGCAAAGGAGAAAGAAAATAAATTATGAACTTTGATGCTATTGCATCGCGGAAAAATCAGAATAGAAAAGAAAAGGAAAACAGAAGAGAATGGTTTTGTATAGATTTTGCCGTCACTACATCGCGCAAGGGCGGCCAGAACAAGAAAATAAAAATAAACAAAGAAAATGAAAAAAAAAGAAATTGTTATATTTTATAAACAAAAAAACCAACAAAAAATTTTTCAGAGTTCATTAATGCACACCTCGCCTCCAAGAAGACTATTCTACAAGATTACACCACACATATATACGGAGAAATAAGAGATAAGAGTATTTTAAGAAGGTGACACGTTTATTAAGTGATACCCATTATATTTAAGTAAGATAGGGCCAATATAGAATTTGTAATAAAGGAAACAGAGAAATAAACAAAGTTAAGGAGTCACTGAGGCCAGTGACTAAAGGTAGAGTCCTAAAAAGGGCCACGAGCTTGCCGACAATTGCGGAGCAGATACAGGCAAAGGCTACAACATCAGGTACGGCAGGAAATAAAAATAAAGTAGCAAGAATACTTAGAAGGCCAGCAGTCGGCGATCGATATGTTAGGAGGAATAAAGCTTTGGGACGTCATAAGGTCGATGCATGTTGATTTTTGACGCAAATAAGAAACAAGATTCAATGAAAGGCAGTTGACGTTCTAGTGAAATCTAACTCGCGTCTAAACTGGGATCAGATCACTTATTAATCACTCATTTTGCGGACAAAAGAACGGAACCAGACTTACTGAGGGAGTTGAATCAATTGCAAACCAAAAAGCCTTATGTAATATCATCGATAGGACGGAACTGACCCTACGGCCCTAAAGGCACCATTGGCAGTAATAATATAACAAGGATAACAAGGATAACTTTGTATAAAACACTTTCGACCGTACTTGTTTGGTCACAAATTCACAATAGTCACAGATCACCTTAACTAACCTGGTTAAAGGGCTTTTAGGAGCCCAATTCCAAGTTAGTGAGATGGAAGCTTCAACTATTGGAATATGATTATGAAGTGGCTTACAAGAAGGGTTCGCAAAATGTGGTAGCAGACGCTCTCAATTAAATAGAGCTTCAGATTAACAATAGCGAGTTGGTTACTAATTAGGCTACGTATGCTGATGCTGACCATACGGGAGTAGGTTTCGCAGAAAGTATTCAAGTGGCAGAGAGGCCACTGAATGATTTAAATATTTAAGTTATTCAAGCTTAACAAATATCGAGAGGGAATTTACAAGAGAGTTCGGGAACAGCTAGATGAGGCAAAGCAAAGGAGAGCAGATAATTTAAACAAAGAAAGAGAAGAACCAATAGATTTACAGGAAGGAGATATCGTTTATAGGAAAGAAAAGAAGTTAACACCTAGGTTCACAACACATGAAATTGAACAAGTCATGAGAGTTACTTGTAGGACGAAGAGAAAACAGAAAATACATACATATAAATTAAGGAAAAGAATTCGGAAATAATAATTAATGCTTTGTAATAAATTACAGGAACTGTTACAGCCGGCCGTTAAAACGAAGCTTCTAACAGCATTTGAGTTGATACGATGGTTTATTAAATATTCAAAATATATTCAAAATATATTCTCTTCTCAAGGCTCGTGCTGCAACTGCTTGTCGATAGTTGCCTTTTTTCGTGGATGCACATCGATTGATGTCAAAATGTATCGTTCAGCCCATTGATAATTTATGGGAAAAAATTAATAAGTATTAAATTATAATTAAATTAAATTTTCAAATTGCCGTACTGGTGCGGTAATTCTTGTGCCTGGCATTAGTGTTGTCTTGGGCTTAACTCAGTTGTGACTGTTGGTTTGTAGCCATCTGCCGATCCCAACAGTAAATCGTAATCTGCCTTTTAGGATACCAAGGATCAAAGGAGTTAATTACGTGTTCTGCACTTTCCTTTCATTTTATATGAACGGCACGTAGAGTGAGGCATCTAAAAATAACGCCCCTGTGTTTCTTCTTATATAAGTCTACGGTTACCAGTATAGGCCCAAAAAAAACCAATCCACAGCACTCGAAACATCTGTGGTGGTTCCGGGATTCACGATTTTCGAACCGATTTCTATACGTTTCGCAACTAAGGGATATATACTTTATCCCTTCGTATCCGATTAATGGTAATGCCTCGTGAAGCATATGGTGATTTATATCGTGAATGTCTTTTACTATAAGATGTGTGGTTTGATTATTCTTTTGCAGTACGATCTGGTCTCTGTTTTGATTTATAGAATCCGCCCGGCCTTGAGTACGCATAATTCCCGCATCACCAATGTATACGTTCAAACCGATTATTGCGCTTGGTTTTGTTATGTTTTGACTTGATTGAAGGGTGTAAAATTCTGTTTTGAAGCAACGATATTGTTAGTCTGGCACTCCCACGATTATATGGCACTTTGCCGATCTCCTTCTTTTGGTTTTAATTTCCTAGTAAGAAATGGTGAAGGTGAATTCCTTTATTCTATAAACTGTTCCCATAGTTGCACCCAGCTCAGTTTCACGGCCTGTACTACTTTTGCCCTCAACCTGGTGCATTTCCGTTGTTGCGCTATAACCTATGGTGTCGGATATCACATTGCAGAGCAATGAACTTGGTTGACAAGGGAATGATTAAAATTCGATTATGGAAAAGTGGTTGAACCTAGGCAGATGGTGCAATGAAGTGCTATGGAGTGGGGAGGTATTGCAGATAACTTGAGTCATCGAGCTGTGGTGCTATTATAGAACCAATAACCAAATAAGGTGTTCAAAGAGATTGAATATATTTAACACGAATTAAGCACAATGCACAAGCGAAGTGAACGGATTGACATTATTCGGTTATCCATTTTATCTTCAAGCACTATAAGCATGGCTCCACGTCCTCGCAGGGCCCAAACCCTAGACGACAGACTTTCACGATGTACTCGGTCTTACCGCCGTTGCACCGATTCCAAGAGCCGAGAAGCATCTACGTGCCGTAATATTAAATAAATACTGCCGGAGGACTATGTAAAAAGTTTTTTTTGGGTTCATGTCGCAAAACAACTTCTCCGCTTCGAACTGGTTGTGTACACCTACTATAAAATTATGATTTTAAGTCTAGTAAAAAAATTTCGCAAGGCCATACAAACATCAAAACAAAGAGTTCAAGCCTATGTTCACCTTAAAGTGAAGTCATACAATAAAATATCTACACTCGACATGTAGATCCATCCAAACTTTATAGTTTTATAGCCAAACCAACCGAGTTCATTGCTTTGCACTTTGATAACCGACACCATAGGATATTGTATGATAAAGGAATGCTTGCCTTTGCACTTAAGTTGAGTGCAAAAGCAGTTCAGTCCGTGAAATTGATCTGAGTGAAATTTTGGAATCAGTTTATGAATAAAATGACATTTGAAAGGAATAGTGGAAACGGGTGCCTTGATCGACCCGGTAAGCACCATTGACAGATCGCTGGCCGCTGCATTTCGTCTTCCCACTTCGGTTTCAGTTCGCCGACAATACGGTCACGGACACCTTCAAAATCGACGTGGTTCTCAAGGTCAGCCCTAACTTTTCTACTCGCACTCAATCCGTGATGCAGATGAGGATGTTTGCGATATCCGATATCCGTCTCGGTGATGAACAGT